CATGCCTAGAAAATACAATATTTTTATAAAAATAATTCAATAAAAATACCAGTAAAATTGCCACAAGTATTAAACTACTTTTTCTATACTTCCTCAGAGTCCAACAATGTCTGCGTATATAGGTCTTCATGGATAGTAGAACGCATGTCTAGGAAGGCAGTGACATGCAATAAGCAACAGCAGCAACAACGTCAACAACAACAACAACTATTACTAGAGGCTTGTTTCCAACAAATGCGAGAAAAAAGAGAACAATTCAGTTCAAGAATTTGAAGTGAAAAAGGCACCATAAAAGGCAATTAACACCTTGTACACTATAATTATTGACAACAGATGCAAGAAAAAAGAGAACATATAAGTTCAAGAATTGATGTGATAGAGGCACCCTTAAGAGCAATTGCGTTTATACATGAAATGCCAACAAACCATACTCTATGATATTTGAAAAAGAAATCAAATGTTAATTATATGCAATCACAGTCAACCAACATGCCCTTATGAGTCCTCCTAGTTGACAACAAACCTATGAATCTAACTCTCCGAAAACACATGGAGATAATATGGATCAGAACCAAATATTCACTATGAATTGATATAAGGAGCTGAAGGCAAAGAAACAGAGGTACGGTGTAAAGAGATCACATCTAGGGTGGTCCAATGCATGATGCTACTACCAATGTGATGTTCAAAGGGGTCAATTTATACAGCAATACTGTTGCAAGCAAAGAGGCAGGAGAAATCACATGGTTGATGGTAAATAATCATGAGAAATTGAACTGTAAGGGGGATCTTGTTTAAAGATGAAAAATAGAGTGCTTTACCTTATGATGAAATAAATAATCAAAAACTTATAGTGGAACAGTCTAATCATCATGAAAAAGACAGCTGAAACTTTCCATTCATGTACACGTCTCGATATTCAATGCTTTTTCTTCGAGATAACATATCTGTTCCCCACAATTCCATTTTCATTTTGCATCTTTAATTTTCAATTCACTTGTCCAGGAAAAGATGGAAATGGATTTACTCACTAAAACTGGCAAACAATATCCACTGATGTCTCTTCATCCTCCCCATGTAATGAGCTCATAGCAGCTGCTACCATCATCTTGCCATTAGGAAAGTTGGGTATCTCAGCACAGCGAGGTAGAGGAGACAATCTAAATCCGCTAGCCAATTAGTTGCAGAAGCACCAGGAGGTGGTGGAAAGATGTCCTCAAAGGCCATGAACCTGAACTCATCGTGTGATGGCAAGGACAACAATGGCACACCCAAGGATGGTAATGAATGTAGGAATGGGACCGAAATCAGTGGCAATGAGGTCAAGGTAAGTTAAGGGTTCAGCTGAAGAAAAAGTACTGGAATTTCTCAGGCAGGCATAGGGAAGTAAGAGGTAGAGGCATGAAGTAGCAGATGAGAACATTAGAAAGAAGGTAGAAGAGTAACAGAAGAGAAGAAAGGGTGGCAGAAGTTACAGAAATATACACTACAAAGGTCAGGAATTGAGAGAGTTTCATCAAAGAAGCAGTTTTTAATGTCTATTTCAAATCAACAAAGCAAAAAATCAATCTTCCTGGTTTTATCTTATCTATGGTCAGAAGGAACTCTACAATATTTATATTTCTTAAAAGAATATATCGAAATGCAAAATATTAATCAGTTATCTCTTTGGTTTGTCAAAGAACTACAGCATATTGTTATGCAATCAAACACATGTTTCTAATGAACACAACTCTGGAATTTCATTAGAAAAATAATAAACAATATAACTTCAACAACAACCACCCGTGGCCCGTTGTCGTTTGTCATCATTAATCATTAATGTCATTTGTCATTACCAATTGAAACATTAAATACCTTTTTATCCTATATTTTCGTGCTTTAGTCAGTAAAATTAATGATGTTAAAGGTAAATGAACCTAAATATTTTATTTTCATAATTATAGATATGTTAATATAATTTTTTAAAATATAAAGATTAAAACGTTAAAGATAACTAACTAACTAGCAATATTAATATTAATATGTAATTAACCCTAAAACACTAATGTAGCAGACTTCCAAGTCCTTTGGTTCAATGTAATCAACCATAACATTCTACGAGGAAGATTGGTCTGCGACGACCATGGATGAGGTTGGTTTGTCCAAGTTCCTCTTGGAAACCAATGATGTGCCTGCAATCGAATGCGATGAGCCCATCGAAGGTTGAGCCGGAGATGACGTAGCGAAGATAGTGATGCTGGTGACAACCGCCAAGCCACCATCTGCGGCCTTCGGAGCCGGAGGCCTGTCTATGGCCGAAACCCCTTCCAGCATCTGCACAACCTTCCCCATCGACGGTCTCTGCGAGGGCTGCTCCTGGATGCACCATAAGCTCACCAGTAGCGCCCTCTCCAGCTGCTCCATGTCCACGTCGTGCTCGGCGAGCCTCTTGTCCATGGCGCTCTTGATGTTTCTTCCCTTCTCCAGCTCTTCGTACGCCCACACCGAGAACTTCTTCCGGCCAGTGTCATCCGAAACATCGAAGTTATTATTCTCTCATGTAAAATGTTTTCTCAAAAAAAAAAAAAACATAAAATTCCACTCTGATATCAGAGCCAGGTTTCGATCCTGGGACCTGTGGGTTATGGGCCCACCACGCTTCCGCTGCGCCACTCTGATTGTTAATTTTATCTGTCATATACTTTATTTAGAGAATTCTGGTAGATAAGTCTAAATAATAGATGCAATGTCCGGAAACGCACAAATCATTGAGCCTATGAACAAACTGGTTAGGAGGGCTGTGTATGTGCGTGTGTGAATATAACATCTGAATAGGAGACCCAAAAAAAAAAGGAAAACTGTCAATATAACAAGACATAAAACATATAATGACTTTTATATAAGTTAGACATGGAGAGAAGTATACATTTCAAATTGCTAAGGCTATAAAAAGAAAGAGCAACGATTAGGTAATATTAGATACATAACAAAATTAAGGAAAGATGGATAAATTAATTTTCCAAAATATATAGTGAAAATTTGACAAATAACTAAGACCTAAAAATTGATAATAGTGGTAGGTTTGGTAATCATCGATTGGTTCCTGAAAGATTTTAAAAAATCAAGGAATAATTTGATTGATTAGTTTCTTTTTAAAAAAATAATATTTAGAAAATTACCTAATAAATATTGGAAGAACTTTCAATTGATAAAAAATAAGGAAATTTGATGTTAGTTCGAGCCCAAACTAAACCCAATCAAAGATGTTCGAGTACAATTCCGACGAAATATACATATTTTAGGGAAATTTAACCCACGATAATTCATAAACGAATGTTAAAGATCAGAACAAATTGAGGTTATGTTAAAAAAAATTATTAGGGAGAAAAGGCCTCAAAATCAGGAATCCCACAAATCAATAATTACATAACATAATTACACGTCAATATAAAATAATGTGGTTTTATCTTTTATTTTTTTAATCTATGAAAAATTAAATTATTTAATATTATAATAAATTTTGATTATCCGACGGGCTAAAGAGCCAATGGAGATGTACTTTCAAATATGTCTTAAGTTGAGGTATTGATAGGGCACAATTTAACCGTATATCATAGCCACAATAGTACTGATGTGGAACTTATAAGCCGATGTGGTAGACCATGTCGATAGCTCAGACAATGTGATCGTCCCTCAACCCCCCCCCCCCCCCACCCAGCCTTTGCAGGACCGTATAAGTGACACTGTCAGGTATGAAGCTACCCCGGAAGGTCCGGAATGATGCCATCGAGTATAGAGCCACCCTGGAATGATCGAGACGGCGTTGCTCGGGGACGATCTGCACATATTGACTGGAGTGACGCCATCAAGTACAAAGCCACCCTGGAATGATCAGGACGGCACTGCTCAAGGACAATCCGGACACGTCGACCGGAACGGCACCATCGAGCACAAAGGCATGGGCCGACTGCTTAAGGAGTCAGTGATCATTAACGTATGGGGTACGATCATTCCCCGTATACAAGTATAAAAGCTCGTCACTTGGTCAAGGCCAAGGGATTAGAGGGACTTTGAACACTTAACTCTCTCTCATTCTGTCAAAAGCTAACTTAAGCTTTGGAGGGATCGAGTCACGAAATCCCCCTCCCAACCTCAAACTACGTGTAGGAGTCCAACGACGAAGAAGCAGGCTACTCACTAAGAGAGAAGACCATGCTCGGGGGAGGACGCTCCCCCTCACCCCCCAAGTATCCATGTGGGTGACCTTGTACATCCGGGGCTGGACTGAGCTGTGTTGACACCTCGACTACGACGTAAAGGTTCACCAATATTTTGGCATTAGAAGGAGGGCCCGATGTCGCAAGAATGCCCACAGCCGAACAACCCGGAGGAGTGTCCCGGAGAGGAGCCACACCTGACCTCCGGCTTCGGAGGACAACCCCCATTCCCTCCAAACCTAGGAGGAAACACCCCAAGCCACTATTGGTGACTATTCAACGATCGTAGGCTATCACCTCCCGGGACCAGCATGGGTCAGCATGCAGTCTCAACTGAGGCGTTCCTTAGCCTCACTCATTAGGTACAAGCTTTGGTAGGGATGATGTAGACCATTATCCCTTTAGTCCCTCAGCTCGCCCAATAATCGGCATTGCCTCAACCATTGCAACTGACAACTCTTGGCCCCCCATCACCGACGGCTCCTCAACAGCCCACTATGGCGAACGTTACCCCATCATCTGAGGAGCTATCGGAGAATCCGAGGTTGATACACAAGCATAATGCTCCCGACCTTGACACGTTATCATCTAACTCGATAGACTCTCTTCGGGCTCAGCAACGATCGATTAATCGGCGTCTTAAGGAAATCCGAAGAGAGTTCCACAAATCCAAGGAGGAGCTTGGTGAGGTTCCCCCGGGAGGGTCACCCTATGTACAGGAGATCTAGGACAAGCCTATCCCGCAAAGCTTTCATCTTCCTGCGCTCGAAGCTTATGATGACAACTCTAACCCAACGGAACATGTTGCAGCATTTCGAGCCCAGATGGCCTTGTATAGCACTTTGGATGCCTTAATGTGCCAAGCCTTCCCTACAACTCTCTAAGGCCCAGCGTGGATATGGTATAGCCGGCTTAGGTCGGCCTCAGTTGCATCCTTCAACCAGTTGGAAAAAAACTTTGAGCTTAATTTCCTTGCCGGTGCACGACCACGGCCATTCGTGGTCATGCTCCTCGGCCTCAACCAAAAAGATGAAGAGCCGCTCTCCCAGTTTGTCACTCGTTTCGCTACTATGACTAGAGGAATCCCTGACGGTCACCCTTCTCTGCTTATGCAGGCATTTCTGATGGGTCTGTGACCATCCAGATTCTTCTGGTCACTAGTCGAATGACCGACGATGACTGTCCCCGAGATGCTTCAATGCGTGAACCAATTCATAGCTACTGAGACACTAATGGCAAGAATACATGAAGAGCATAAGAGACCCCGTGCAAAAGTCATCACGAGGGCAAGCTTCGGGCCCACTAAGAAGAAGGCTCGACTAACCCGACCTACCGCTCCCGAAGGCCACTCTCACACTATTGAATTCATCCAGAATAGAAATATTTCTTCAAATCAAAGAGAGAGGACTTTTGAGAGCACCTAATCCAATGAAGACCCCCGAGAACTTAGAAATTGTTCAAAATATTATCAGTTTTATCGCGACTATGGTTCAGCTGAAGAAAAAGTAATGGAATTTCTCAGGCATAGGGAGGTAAGAGGTAGAGGCATGAAGTAGAAGATGAGAACATTAGATAGAAGGTAGAAGAGTAACAGAGGAGAATAAAGGGTAGCAGCAGTTACAGAAATATACACTACAAAGGTCAGGAATTGAGAGAGTTTCATCAAAGAAGCAGTTTTTAATGTCTATTTCAAATCAACAAAGCAAAAAATCAATCTTCCTGGTTTTATCTTATCTATGGTCAATAGGAACTCTACAATATTTATATTTCTTAAAAGAATATATTGAAATGCAAAATATTAATCCGTTATCTCTTTGGTTTGTCAAAGAACTACAGCATATTGTTATGCGATCAAACACATGTTTCTAATGAACACAACCCTGGAATTTCATACGAAAAATAAAAAATAATATAACTTCAACAACAACCGCCCGTGACCCCTAATGTTATCGTTGTTTGTCATCATTAATATCATTTGTCATTACCAATTAAAACATTAAATATTTTTTTATCCTATATTTTAAAATTAATGATGTTAAGGTAAATGAATCTAAATATTTTATTTTTATAATTATAAATATGTTAATATAATTTTTTAAAATATAAAGATTAAGATAACTAACTAACTAGCGATATTAATATTAATATGTAATTAACCCTAAAACACTAATGTAGCAGACTTCTACGAGGAAGATTGGTTCCATATAACGAACACCTCCCGTCTCGGTAACATTCTACGAGGAAGATTGGTCTGCGACGACCATGGATGAGGTTGGTTTGTCCAAGTTCCTCTTGGAAACCAATGATGTGCCTGCAATCGAATGCGATGAGCCCATCGAAGGTTGAGCCGGAGATGACGTAGCGAAGATAGTGATGCTGGTGACAACCGCCAAGCCACCATCTGCGGCCTTCGGAGCCGGAGGCCTGTCTATGGCCGAAAACCCTTCCAGCATCTGCACAACCTTCCCATCGACGGTCTCTGCGAGGGCTGCTCCTGGATGCACTAGAAGCTCACCAGTAGCGCCCTCTTCAGCTGCTCCATGTCCACGTCCTGCTCGGCGAGCCTCTTGTCCATGGTGCTCTTCATGTTTCCCTTCTCCAGCTCTTCGTACCCGCACACCGAGAACTTCTTCCGGCCAGTGTCATCCGAAACATCGAAGTTGTTATTCTCTCATGTAAAATGTTTTCTCAAAAAAAAAAAAAACATAAAATTCCACTCTGATATCAGAGCCAGGTTTCGATCCTGGGACCTGTGGGTTATGGGCCCACCACGCTTCCGCTGCGCCACTCTGATTGTTATTTTTATCTGTCATATACTTTATTTAGAGAATTCTGGCAGACAAATCTAAATAACAGATGCAATGTCCGGAAACGCACAAATCATTGAGCCTATGAACAAACTGGTTAGGAGGGCTGTGTATGCGTGTGTGAATATAACATCTAAATAGGAGACCCAAAAACACAGAAAACTGTCAATATAACAAGACATAAAACATATAATGACTTTTATAGAAGTTAGACATGGAGAGAAGTATACATTTCAATTTGCTAAGGCTAAAATGAAAGAGCAACGATTAGGTAATATTAGATACATAACAAAATTAAGGAAAGATGGATAAATTAAGTTTCCAAAATATATAGTGAAAATTTGACAAATAACTAAGACCTAAAAATTGATAACAGTGGTAGGTTTAGTAATCATCGATTGGTTCCTGAAAGATTTTAGAAAATCAAGGAATA